GAGATGAACTCACTATCTCTTAAGCCACCAGTAGTTAAATAGATAAACCTACATAATAATCCTATTAATAACCCCATGCCAAAGCAGACAAAGAAAAAACCAAATGATCCTCCATCCTATAAGCCAGCCCCCACCAAAACAGCAAGCCACCAAGAGCAAAGTGGGAAATACTAATCACTAAATTCAAATAGCTAGTAAACAAACTAGCAATAGGCTCCAGGAAAAGAAAAGGCCAGGATATAGCAATAATGGGGAAAATAACCTCCCTTAACCTGCACCAACACAGTAGGAAGATAAAACCAAAGGGGAATCAAAAAGCCAAATTAAATAAACATGAAAAGCTTCCAGGCAATAGATAGCCCTCATGAAATAATCGGTTCCCAACAACACACTCCCATAAATACAATTGAAAGCAAATGAATAACCACCAACCATTTTGAAACAGCTAAGACCACTAGGCCTCACAGTACCAAGCAACACACACAAATAACTATGAAAGCAACCAAGCCATCCAGGGAACAAATGGCCCTCACAAAATAAATGGTTCCCAACAGCACACTCCCATAAATACAATTGAGAGAAAATGAATAGCCACCAACCATAGTGAAACAGCCAAGACCACAAGGCCACACAGAATCCAGCAGCACACTCCTAGAACAAAGAAAGCAAATGAAGAAAATGTAAGCCACCTCCAAACCTTTAGAAATAGCCAGAAACACATGACCATCCCAAAACAACAAAAAGAAAAGAACCTAGTAGCAAAATGCTTCAACAAATGCAGGGAAAAAGCACAAGCAACCTAGTAGAAATGCAAACTAACCAACCAACCGAGAAAACCCCAAAAAGAATCGCAGCAATCCAACAAAAAAATAGCAGCCTCAACCACCTTAAGGAATAACATAAGGAACACAATGCTTATCCAGATTCAAAAGTCCCCTAATAGGAAGAGGAAAATTAGAATAACAGAAATCCTTCATGGAATCCAATCCACAGCCCCACCTAGCCAAGGCTTTAGCACAAGCATTATCATTCACCTCAATAGCAAAAAAATAATAATAATAAGTATGCTCAAAACCTTTTGAATTTCCCTCCTCTTGTAAAACAAATCAGAAGAGTAAATCTTGTCATTTATCAAAATAAAGGACTGGAAGAAATAAGATGAGCAAACTTCCACCATAATATTAATGCAATCAAGTGAGAAACAAAACCTTAAACCATAGAGGATAACAAAAGTAGTAGTAGTATTAACATCACAATTGTAACTAGGACTAGCAAAACCAAGAATACAATTACCATTGGAGTCCCTGATGACTCCACCACAGTCAGCCATAGACTTAGTGCAAAAAGCATCCACATTTAACTTATAAAAATTATCAGGATGTTTCAACCAAAAGATACTTCTAGGGACCTTTTGATAGTTATCCACATCAAGATTAATCCCAAATTCAATAACAGCTATGTGATACTTATTAAAATTCTTAGCAGAGATTAACTTAGCAGAAAAAAAGGTCCCTAATTTTATCTTTAGCATTTGGAATAATCCTATGATGATTCATAACCACACCATTATAACAAGAATTATTCCTATCCAACCATAAAAACCAAAGGAAAAGAGAAGAGATAACATTCTTGATATGACATTTGGAACTAACAAACTAGCAATTCAGTAAAGCATAAATCGAAACCTTAACATTGAAGCAGTTTAAGTACAAAATATCCTTAAAATAAGTTCAGGCCTTAACAGGACAATGGCCAGAGACAAAGACATGATGCATATTGTCCATATAATAACAACATTGGCATTTAGAGGGAAGAATGAAACCATATTTAATCAAATTGTCATCCGTAGAGATGAAATTATGTAAAATCTGCCAAACAAAAATAGAAATTGTACAAGGAATACTTTTGTACCATATCATTTTGAAAATATTAGAAACCTCTTTAATAGCTCTAAAGAAATGCCATGCACCCTTTAAAGAAAATTTATCGTCTCTAGTTAAGGCACAAATCTGAACATTAAGACAGTTCATATTTAAAGGGATATGCAAAATTTGCTGAATGATAAAATTAGGTAACACATTAGAGAGTTTCTAAAATCCCAACCATTATCAGTGAAAAAATAATTAACCTTCACAAAAGTATTGGACGAAGTATTAATAATAGAATCAATGGATTGCCCTCCCAGCCAACGATCCTGCCAAAAGAAAATATTACCACCACCAAGACCCCAACAGATAGATGGCTCAACCGTCTATTTCACTTTACAAAGACACTGCCAAACTTTATAATTACCTTTACTAAAACAACACATGGTGGGATGATTCTCCCCATAAAAACTTAGCATTTATAAATTTAGCCCAAAGGCTCAAGTTAGCACGGAAATTATACCATAATTTAAAAGAAAAAGAAAAAGCCAAATCCTTCAATGACTTACACCTCAAAGCCCCTTCATCCAAAGTGCCACAACATTTATTCCAAGAAGAACTGTTGATTTTAGAACTACTACTAGCCCCTTTCCAAAATAATTTATTAATAATTTTCTCAATCCTGTTATATATAGCCTGAGTAGGAAGTAAAATTTGAAAGCTATAAACAGGGATAGAGCAAAGGACACTCTTAATAAGAGTTAATCTACCACTACAACTAAGAAAGTTGGAATCCCAAGATAATAGTTTGTTTTACACAAATGAAATTAAATAAAAAAGAAATGATTTCTTCCTACCCTTATAAAGAGGCACACCAAGGTACTTTAAAGGTAAACAAACACGACTGAAACCACTTAAATTCATAATAGCCACAATATGGTCCAAAGCAACTTTCTTTGTAGAAATAAAGCCACATTTATGATTATTAAAAGCCAGGCCACTCTCCAATTCAAATTGTTGAAAAAACCTCATCAATTTTTTAATCTTATTAAAGAGGCATTAGTAAAAATAATGAAATCATCCGCAAAGCATAAATGAGAAATATGGAAACCTCCTAAAGTTTTAAAATAAAGGCTAGGAGACTTTTCAAAGAGATCAACAAGACCTCTAAAAAGGTAGTCAGTCGCAATAATAAAAAGGGCCAGAGAAATGGGATCACTCTATCTCAGACCATGAGAAGCCTTAAAAAACCATTAGACTTATAATTAACAATAATAGAAAAATAAGGACTTTCAATACATCGCATCCAAATCATGACAAAATTCTTGTGCCAAAAGGATGTTATCAGCAATGGCATGGCCTTTGACAAAATCCATTTGAAAAGGAGAAATCAGTTTAGGCAAAAAAATAGATAAATGATTCATCAAAATTTTAGAGATCAATTTATAATAAAAGATACAAAGACTAATAGGCCTAAAATCATTCCAAGAAGTGTTAGAATTATTCTTAGGAATAAGCATAATAAAAGTAGCGGTAAAAAATTTAGGTATAGCATTACCATCAAAAAATCAATAACAACAAAAAAAAAAGATCATTACTAATTATATGCCAGGTTTTCTGGAAAAACTTGGAAGTGAAACCATCTGGCCGAGCCACCGATTCAAAATTCATACCAAAAATAATATCTTTAACTTCCTCCAACAAAGGGGACTTAAACAAGTAAATATTATCCTCATGAGAAATAAGAGACAAAATAATATTAGGATTATCAATAGTGGTAGGATTGAAATTTTTATTCAGATGATTATGAAAATGTTGAACAGCTAAGATAGCAATTATAGTACCATCTTCAGTAATAGAGCCATCAACCCGGTTAATTTTTTGAATGCAATTAATATTAAGTTTCCTCTTAACCAATGCATGAAAATATTTTGTATTGTTGTCACCTTCAACAAGAAGTTTAGCAATTGCTTTCTATTTCCAAAACATTCCCTCTTAAGCTTGTAATTTATGAAGCCCATTTTTAGCCTCTCTCAAAAGACAAAAGTTAGCATCATAAGGGAATAATTGGCATTGAGTCTCCTAGCAAATCAGTTTACCTTCCGCAATTAAAATGTTAGAAAAACGATTCTTAAACACATTATGATTCCACCAATTCAGAACAAACTTAAGCCTTTTTAGCTTGTACCATAGTCTACGCATACCAGAATTAACATTATCCGGATGTAAAGGGGCAAGCCAGTTTTCCTTTACCACATTCATAAAAGAATCATGAATTAACCACATGTTTTGAAACCTAAATTGAGAAGGCAAATCTCTCAATCTAGGCTTAATTATAATGAGAAGATGAGACTGATTCGAGAGGGTCCTGCTCAAATGTTCAATATTAGTATAATCAAAAGAATGCAACCAAAAGTCATTAAATAAAGCCTGATCTAATCTTTCCCATAAATGCCAATGAAGCCAATTAAAATTATCACTAGAGGAGCCAATATCAATAAGATTACAATCCATAATCATGTTATTAAAATCCTCCATAGATTGATAGATAGGGAGAAAGCCCCCTATACGCTCATACTGGTTAGCAATGGTATTAAAGTCTCCTCCAACAAGCTAAGGAAGTGTACAAATACTATGAAATTGAATTATTTGGTCCCATAAAATCTTTCTAGTATATCAAGAAGAAGCAGCGTAGACAAAGAAAGTACAACATTACAAATTAGAACTCTCAATATTATAATAACTTGATTAAAATCACCAATAACAAAATCTTTTCAAAAAACCCAAATTTTATTAGAAACATTAAATAAGACATATCTAAAACCCAAAAATTTAGCAGTACTAAGTAACTTATCAGATGGGATAAGAGGCTCAAGCAAAACAAGAAGAAAACATTATAGATACGACATAAGTTTTTAACTCTTAGTTTAGAAGAAGAGCATCCAATGCCCCTAACATTCCAAAGAATATCATTAAACTTGAAAACAATATTAATGAGAAGTAAGTGAATGGGTGTTTCAAGGAGTTTGTATAACAATAGCTTTAGGCTTCCTACCTCTCCTACCGAGACCCTTGGTAGAACTAGTATCATTATCATCTATAGCATAACATTTAGCCAAGATATCCATATCCTCATTATCAGTAAAAGCATCACTATTATAATTAATATTCAAAGGAAAATTACTATCATTAACCACACTTGAATGCCCCCTAGAAAGAAGCATTTCTCTTTCCTTTAGATCACATCACATATCATATAGGTTTTATTGTGAACATCAACATCACCTATCTTCTTCGCCTCTATTTGGGAGATAACCTGATTAGTAAAAATAACTTGCACAATATCATCCTCCACCGCAATATTATTAACCAACTCATCCTCCAAAAGAAGATCAATAAAAGAAGAAGCATTATTTAGATAAACCACAACATTTTGGCCAGTCACTTTATGAGAATCAATAGCTATAGAAGAGGTCGAGTTAAGATTAACTTCTTGTCCTTTAACCAGCTCCTCCACGGTAATAGGATATGGTTCCACCTGAACCGAAACAAAATTTAAGGAACCATTACTATGATCTAACCATCGAGAAGCATTAACCATATTAGCAACATGATTAGGAATAATAGAAACCAATTCAATTAAATTTAATTCATTATTATGGAATGAATTAGTAGTCTCCTTAGCCTTTCGTAGATGTGGGTGTAATTTATAACAAGCAGATAAACCATAGCCATGCATCTTACAATGAGAACATAAAATTGGTAAATTTTCAAATTCAACTTTTTGAAAATAGCCATTAAGTTCTGAACCAATCCTAACCTCAGTAGGATATTTCTTTGATATATCCAGTTCAATAAAAACACGAGCTACAAACAGCCTAGAAATTGACATTGTAGCCTGATCGGTTTGCAAAGGTTATCAAAAATAGAGACCAAACCAAATAAAATTTGAGAATTGAAGAAATGTAAATGGAGATTAGGAAACAAAATCCAAACTGAGGTTATGGGGGATTCTTCATGCAAATTAAAGTCTAGAGACCATTTAAGTAATCACATTTGAAAGCCCTATACATAATAGGACCTCCTAAAAAAAAACGGCTATAGTTCAAATCATTACTCAGTTGAATTGATATGTGCATGGTATCCAATAAACCAACCTGAAATGAGCTAGACAATTTTAGATTCAAGAAGAACTTTCAAATTATATCTAAATTTCACCGCTTAAGCATAACTTTCCCCATAAGAGTAAGTGCAAAAGGAGCACAAGTAAGGAAACCACGGAATCATCAGGCATCAAAGTTGGGCACACTTTGAAGGAAGAATGCAAAAAATGAAGTTTGGAGGAAGAAAATGAAGAACCAGCTAAAACTGCCCTAAAATAGAGGGATTTGCCATTCGGAAGTGAAGGAAGAGGGATAGATGATGACTGCATCGTCATCTCCCAAAAAATCACAAAACCCTAACACACCAGAGCAAAACACCTTGAGAAAAAGACGAGAAGACAAATAAAAAAGAAAGAGAATAATGAAAAACATGAAAAAAATCCAAAAAGTAAGAAGAAATAGCTAACAATCGAAAAAAATTATGATTGAAAGAGGAAGCCCTACATCGCCTCAGAGTCACCTAGAGTAGAGAAAATAGAGAGCCATTACTATGTTGAGCAGTTTGAGATTAAAGTACACATGAAGTCCCTGAAGAGTCATTAATGTACAAACATTTTGATGAAGATTATGCTTAATCAAGGAGATGGCCACCATTAAATTTCAATGGCCTTCAAATTGGGTGAATCCTAAGAAATGTGTTAGTGTATACGAGTTTGACACCTTCTACATTTTGACATCCCAAGTCAAAATTATATTGAAGAAGTTAAACAAATTTAGTCTATTTAGTGATCCAAATGTTCAAGGGGCAAAGACTTTAAATTCCATTAATTAATAGATTAACCCTTGCTTAAATAATTGCAATCTATGTTAAAGAAACCACCCATATTTCTAATGGAATAATAATAATAATAATAATATGGGAAACTAATTGAATTCCAATCAACCCAATCATATAGGATCATGCAACAATTTGGAAATCTTAGTCCCAATTATCCCCCAGGTTTCAATTCTAATAACCATTTTAAGGATAAGAACCCTCTTTGGAGGATTTAGTGTTACAAATGGGGACTCAATTATAAAGTCAAGATATTTTTATTTAGAATATAGAAAATCATATAGGGCAGCAAGCCAGATCAATAAATAGTAGACCCTAGGGTACCTTTTCTAGTACTATAAAAGTAAACCCTAAGAGAAGGGCAAGGAGTGTTGCGGATCTATTTTCATGGATAATGAATTTGATGATAGAAAAAACTCTTATTGAAAACACTCTTATTATGATTTTGATGATATGTTCTCTACGAATGTCTTATCTACTGACATTTCAGGTCCACACGATCAGACTGCAATTTGGAACCAGCTCAAGATTGGGTAGACTAGGTCTGAGTCAGTTTGTACCCTTTTTCTTTCTTGAGTCTATTGTATTTGGTTTGGCTCTTAATAATTTGTATCTTGGAAGACTTTCTGACTGTTCCCTAGAGTTTATCGTTTTTGGTAACATCGTGTGGGATGATATTTATATCGTCCTGGACGATCGGTTCAAAAGCAAAAATCCTGATTAGGGCATCCTCATTAAAGCAGTCATCATTATGCAAAAATATCATCCTAGAAAATTTTGTATCAGCCAGGACGATAGGCTCAAAACAGAAAGAATCTGCCGCCATATCTATTTAGGAATTACTTATTTTTGGACATCATCCAGGGGATCATCCATGACTATAAAATATCATCCAGGATGATCCTGGACATTTTTTCCTAAATTAATCTGGCATTTAAGTAAAGCATTTATGACTTTATCAGACGATGAAATCGTCCTGGACGATCGCAGGATCATCCGGGACGATACGCTAGATGATTGCACATCGGACAGCTCTTTTTCAGGGCGATGTTCAAGATGATATTCCATGATTTGTACTGATCATCCAGGATGATATATTATCATCCTGGATGATATGAACAAATTTCTTCTAATGGTCTCAAATCGTCCCGGCTGATTGGGCTTATTTTGCACTAATCGTACAGGACGATATTAGAATCATCCTCGATGATAAAGTCAGCAACTTGCATTAATGAGCTCGTTTTGAGATCTTCTATTTAAGCTATGATAAGGAACTTTGTAAGTGTCTTTGGTAGCCATTGTAGCTTCGTTCTTTTTGGGGGAACTTGAAGAGAGAGCTTTAAAGGGAGTGAGGAATGGGTGAAGTTTGAGAGGGAGAAGATACTGTGAGGGGGGACTCAAGGTAGTGTGGTGAGGGATTCCACACAGTTGTTTAGGCAGGCATGCACCTTAATACCGTCAAATTCAAGGCTTGTCTTGAGGGAAGTTCACCAAAGAAGAAGATCTCTTTGGTGTCAAAGGACCCGGCGACTCCGCCGCATCGAGGAAGGTGGAAGTGATTTTGTAAGGGCTTCTCTAGCTTGCTGTGGGGGGAAAAGGAGAGACACTTAGTTTAGTACAATACTTGGAGGGTGCCTCCCAGGAGTGGATGTAGGTCAAGTTTTGACCGAACCACTATAAATATGGTGTGTTCTTTCCTTTATTACTTCCACATTTAATTTTCACACTTTGGTTTTCATTGTGGTGAATCTTGGTTTTTGGTTTTAAGTTTGAGTTTTACTTAAAATACCAATTCACCTCTCTCTTTTAATTAGCCTTGGGCTGGTTCATAGAGCCTAACATCCCTAATGAACCTTTAAGTGGTATCAGAGCAGTATTCATAAAACATAGTTTTAAAAACCTTTTGAATTTCGATCCATGGCTAATGTTTTAAATTATAATATTGCGGAAGGTTATTCAATCACCAGACCACCTTTGTTTGAAATATTACATTTGATTTTTAGAAAATTTGCATGTATATTTTTTTGCAATCAATTGATTTTCGTATGTGGCATATGATTTTAACTGGTTATACATTACCATCATGTGTTATAAATGGAATTAAAACGGATATTCCTTTTAATCAATGGAATAGGGAAGAACAACTCAATGCTTAATTGAATGCAAAATCATTAAATTATTTTTTCTGTGCTTTAAATTCTGAACATTTTATATTAGTATCCACGTGCACTACTAATAAGGAAATTTGGGATAAACTACACACCATATACGAAGGCACTAGTGAAATCAAACAATCCAAGTTGAATATATTAATGCATGATTTTGAACTATTTTCCATGAAACCTTATGAGACGATCTTAGACATGTATACTAGGTCTATTCAAATTGTGACATCATTGCATGCTTTAGGAAAAGAATTTTCAAAATTTGAAAAAGTTAATAAAATTTTTCATTGTCTACTGAATAAGTTTGATGCTAAAATTGTTGCTATTTGTGAATCAAAAAATTTGTATAATTATTTTATTGATAAATTAATTGGCTCACTCATTGCCTACAAGCAAAGTTTTGGTCAAAGACTTTTGGATGCATGTGAAATGATTGTTCTAAAAGCTGAGGATGCCAAAAAAGATAGCTTAGTTGGTGACGAAAGTAATGACTTGATAGAAATTAAAAAAGCTCACCAAAGTATAAGCATCAACAAAAGTGGAAGAAAGGTAAAAATGGTAAGGATGTTAATATTTCTTCTGACGTTATTTGCTTTCAATGTAGGAAGCCTGGACATATGAAATATCAATGACCTAATTTGAGAATTCTTCCTGCAAACAAAAAAAGGTAAAGCAAAGAAAATTATAAACTGGGAAAATAATGAAAAGCAAAAAATCTCTTGGGCAAACCTGGTTTCTGAAGCATCGGACCAGGAGAAAGATAATGGTTAAAAGCCTTGTTTGTGTGTTTGTGTTGTGTTTTGTTTTTAGTTATTTTCTTTTTTTTTTTTGCTTGTTTTGTTTCGATTTTTATTTTGTGTTTTTGTCTTTGTTTATTCTTTGATTTTTTATCTTACTTCGTGAAATTTTTTCTCTGATCAACACACACATTCACTTTTCTAAAAATGAAAAATCTACTTCCTATTTTTCTTGAAATCTTTGGTAAGTTTTGATCGACTTCTCTAAAAATAGTCAAAGGAAGAAAACTCATATTTTTTACTCTCAATCTCTGTTTCCTAAAAGAGGTTATTTTACTTTTGATTTAAAATCTTTTTAATAATTTAAATTAGTCTTTGAAACTAAATTTTTTTATCTCTCTACATTTTATTTATTGCATAAGGATCTTCTGCAAGTTGTTGAATCTAACTCATAATCTTTTTCATCAAGAATTTGTTTTGTCAATAGGATGGGTTTACTTTTATTTTTAAGATTTCAGAAAAGTAGCATATTCAAAAAAAATTGGCCAATAATGCCAAAAATAAAAGATGTGCAAAGATGCCAAATTGAAAAATATACACAAAAGTGTATCAAAAATCAAAAGATGCGCAAAGAGTGCCATTCAAATTGACAAGAGGCATAAAATGAGCCCACAAAATTTAATGCTTACCATTCTTGT